AAAAATGGACGCTGGCAAGGAAAAGAGGGTTCTAAAGGTATTTTTTTTAATAAAATGTTAAGTTAAAATATATCTATATTGCTCAATATAGCAGCGTGATCACGGTGGCACAGAGAAAAAAAAAATAACTTTTCCTTGAGATGTGAGAATAACAAGCACAACAAATTTGACGGCTAATAATCTGAGATTTGCCTGTGTGAACGGTGCGATTAAAAAACGAGCTTTGATTGAGGTAATATTGATATGTGAACATAGTTTTAAATTCCAGTCGTTGGGCATGCGTTCATCTGCTCATATTGTGCATACGAGCTGATGCATGCACCTCATCAGCTCCTCGCTCTACTTGAATAGCTCAGCTGGCAGGTTGGCAGCTCCAGCAGATTTGTTGTTTTTCATTGGCATTTGTACCTCCACAGTTGTCACTTTTGTAAAATTTATCTAGTTATTATTTTTCTCTACACCTACCAAGTAAAGCCTATATTTTTATAGGCTTTTATTTAAAATTTTGTCGATTTTATAAAGCTGGCACAAGGAACATACACCTATGTACTTATGTATATATATGAAATAAATATAAAGTAATAATGATATCTAATACGAGTTTAAAATTAATTTAAATTAAAGTCAAATTCAAAATTAATTCAAGTATTTAATTGTTGCATTGGTTACATAATGCAATCGTTTTACAATGCTGCTTGCACACAAACTTTTTACAAGTAATTTGGACATCATTGGCATCGACTTTACTTATTCGTACTTTTATCTGTATCCTGTCGATATTCATTACATTTAGTTTGGTTGGTGTTGGCTAATTTTTCCGAGAGGGTGGTAAGATTTTTGGAACGCAAAATCGCATTGAATATGGCATAAGGGACAGGCAATGACGGCAATATATCCAAAATAAGTCACTGTTATTTTTTTATAAGAAATGTCGCTCGACCCTATTAAGCTGGCATTTCAGGGTACTATTTTATATATATATAAGGAAAATTTTAAAGTTAGGGGGGGGAGGGGGGCTCGAACACACCCCTGCCCCTACCTGGCTACGCCCATGCACTCAAAATATTTTTGCATTAATCGTTTAAAATAAGTTCAGAATCTAGAAACTCAAGATATACAAATTAATTTTGGATAACTCATAAAATTGCTACTAAAATTCATTTCAAGTGAATGAAGTTCCGCTGATAGAATTCATATGAACGGCGGTATTTTACCACAGAGTATGGCCGTTTTGGTTATTTATCAATAACTAAATTTTATTGCTTGGTATGGAATGACAAAAATTCCGTTTTTCGCCAGAAAATCCCATTCGCCCTTTTTAGTCAAAAAATCCCGAAAAAAGGGCGAAATCCCGCAAACTTGCAACACTGATCTATGGTTAAAGAAGTCTATTTCTCCACATTGTTTGGATCTGAAGTTTCTCGTTACTAGGTTAATATCTGCCTCTGCGGTAACCACAATGCAAATCATTATAATATTACGAATTAACAATGTTTCCACAATAA